ACCTGCTGGATGACCTTGGGCAAGCCATAGTTCTGTCAGAGCTGATCTCAAGGGCAGTTCTCGGGAGAGCTCTCTCAGCCCCATCTACCTCACAGGGTGTCTGTTGTGGGGAGGGGAAGAGAAAGGAAAAGAGTTTGTAAGCCGCTCTGAGACTCCCTTGGGTAGTGAAGGGCGTGGTATAAATCTCCTCCTCTTCCTCCTCCTCTTCTTCTTCTTCTTCGTCTTCTTCTTCGTCTTCTTCGTCTTCTTCTTCTTCTTCTTCTTCTTCTTCTTCTTCTTCTTCTTCTTCTTCTTCTTCTTCGTCTTCGTCTTCGTCTTCTTCTTCTTTGCAACAAAGCCCCTGTTACACTTGTGAGGCAGTAAACGATTGATATAGGACCCAAAAGGGAGCGTTCCAATCTGGAATTGAATGATACAAAGAATTGTTACATTGGCCCCGATAAGGCGATTTTACTTGTACTCCTAGGACCTAAACTGGAAGGTACATATTGGCAATCTTACTATCTCCATTATACGTAATTGCTTCTGACACCAGGCCAGATACATTTGTGGCCCCACAAGCAATTTGTGTGTGTGTGTGTCATTCAATTCCAGATCGGTACATTCCATTTTTGGTCCTATATCAATCGTTCACTGACTTACAAGTGTAACAGGGGCTTTGTTGCATGTTGCATTCTGTACTATTTGACCTCCAAAGAAGGCTGTTGTGGACCGAAACACATCGGGTCATATATATGGTTCTTTTTGTGCATTTGTCGCTTTGTTTATTTTATGAGGCTTTATATGGGCCCCCACAAGGTTTTTTTTAAATAAACCCGTGTACTTTTGTCTGTCCCTATCGATGTTCTTAACTTTTGGCCCTTTACTAGTTCTCCAAACTTCCTTTGGAGGTTTTTGCTTGGTTGGATTAGTTTTTCTTCCCCTCTCTTCGTGGGTCCGCCCCCAAAACCCCATGAATTCCCCAACCTGGAGCTGGCAACCCCAAATAAGGAAGGGAACAGCATGAGATTACGTGCAAGAGCTGGCTGGATCCGTTCCAGCCCTTCATATCTGTGTCGGGGTTGAGAGCCAATTTGCCACCGCGGAGGAGCATGCCCCGAATGTCTACGTGGCCGTCCCGCTTTCCCCCACTGCTAAATAGCTGTTGCATTTTGCCCTGAGCTTGGCCTCTGTCCACTTGGCGTAGGAATCGCTTGCTAAATATAACCCCTGTGATCAGTCGGCCTTGCAGAGACGGAAGATCGTTATTGTGGCCGAGGGCGGCAGTGGAGGGGGGGCGGCGCAAAGGCAGGTTTTAGCTACCTTCCCTTGAGTAGAAGGTGCGTATTGAAAGACCCAGCTGCAGAGTTGTGGGGGGCAGAGGAGGAAGAGGCCGACCCACGGCTCTTGCGATCCCGTCCTGGTTCTCGTTTAGCTGTGATTAAGAGCCAGTCTGCTTTGGCTCCTCTCCGGGCCACCTGTGTTTCTGTTACACCTGCTGCTCCTCCACGTTAGCAGGTGGGGATGAATCTGAATTGGGCAGGGGCATAAGAACATAAGAGAAGCCAATGCTGGATCAGGCCAATGGCCCATCCAGTCCAGCACTCTGTCCCACAGTGGCCAGAAATCCCAGGTGCCATCAGGAGGTCCACCAGCGGGGCCAGGACACTAGAAGCCCTCCCACTGTGCCCCCCCCCCCAAGCACCAAGGATACAGAGCATCACTTGCCCCAGACCGAGGGTTCCTATCTATACCTTGTGGCTGATAGCCACTGATGGACCTCTGCAGTGGGGAGAGAGGTTGTATCAGTCTTCTGGTCCTGTCCAGGTGGTATGGAAAGGAGGGTTCCATGGAAAGAAATCTTATCCATTCATAATGCTCTGCAGACTTGAAATCCTTAATGAGAGGTTAAATTTCTGAATAGGCGTTGTCAGCTCTGGGTTGGGAAATACCTGGAGATTTTGTGGGTGGAGCCTGGGGAGGGCGGGGTTTGGGGAGGGGAGGGGCTTCAGTAGGGTGTCATGCTGTAGAGTCCGCCCTCCAAAGCAGCCATTTTCTCCAGGGGAGCTGATCTCGGTCGTCAATTGTAATAGCAGGGCTCCAGGTGCCAGCTTGAGGTTGGCAACCCTGTTTCTGAGAGCTCTCATGCCCCGTTTCGATAGATTCAGAGGGATTCCATGCGCTCTAGAGATGGGAACGGGGTTCGTGATAAATGCTTAGGGAATCTGGACGACGGCGCTTGAAAGAGAACCAAAGAAGCAGGAGGTCACACTCTCGAAATTGCTTCTTGGTGTGCTATTCAATACACTTTTCAAATTGTAAAAAAAAATAATGCAGCCTTGCAACTGGGATCGAGCGGCAGGCTCTTAAGTTTGGTGTAGTGGTTAAGTGTGCAGACTCTAATCTGGGAGAACCGGGTTTGATTCCCCACTCCTCCACTTGCACCTGGCTGGATGACCTTGGGCAAGTCGTAGTTCTGTCAGGGCTGTCCTTGAAAAAGAGCAGTTTTTGTCAGAGCTCTCTCAGCCCCACCTACCTCACAGGGTGTCTGTTGCGGGGAGGGGAAGGGAAAGGAGTTTGTAAGCTGCTCTGAGACTCCGAGTGAAGGGCAGGGTATTAAACCAATCTCCTCCTCGCCCTCCCCCTCCTCCTCCTCTTCTTCGGCATTCTTGAACATTTGTGCATCAAGGTAATGGTAGTGGAAAATGCCGTCTAGTCACGGCTGACTTATGGTGACCCCCGTAGGGTTTTCAAGGTGAGAGACGAACAGAGGTGGTTTGCCCTTGCCTGCCTCTGCATAGCAACCCTGGACTTCCTTGGCGAGGGAGTTCCAGTAGCCTTGTATACGTTTTTCTTCGGCATGTAGGCGTTTAAAGATAGATTTTATGTTGAATTACGGGAGAAGGGGACGGGAGCTCCGAGATTAAGCGTGCACCATGCACCGCTAGCTCCGCCCACCCTTTCAAAGGTAATGCTTTTTAAAAATATTTCTGTACATTGCTATTGAGGGCCTGTAAAGATGCCTAAGGTTATCCACCGAGGCTGTTGCCACGGATGGGACCGGTGGGAATTGGGTTGGGCACTAACTGGGAGAGCCAGTCTGATGTAGTGGTTAAGAGCGGCAGACTCTAATCTGGAGAACTGGGTTTAATTCCCCACTCCTCCACTTGTAGCCAGCTGGGTGACCTTGGGTCAGTCACAGTTCTCTCAGAGCTGTTCTCTCAAGAGCAGCTCTCCAGGGAAACTTGGGGTCCAGTAAAATGGGGTGAGGCTTAAACATTCTGCCCCTGTAGTGTGGTCCATATCCAAACTGGGGTCCCCACAAGCCTAGGAGGTGTGGAACTCCAGAGCATGTTTTTATGATATGTGAATTGGCCTTCTATAGCCTTAAAGAATATTTTATGATCATTGTCTACTCTAGCATTAAAATCACCTGCCAGAATTATTTCAGCCAAGGGATGTTCTTCTTCTAGTCTTTCTAGAGAATTGGCCCTATGTAAGTTTTATGAGTAGGAGCTGCGGTGGCTCAAGTGGTTAAGACGCTGAACTGCAGGCTGTGGAAGGTCAGTAGTTCAGCGGTTCAAGACCCGGGTGCCGCAAGACAGGGTGAGCTCCTGTTTCTAGTTCCAGCTCCTGTCAACCTAGCAGTTCGAAAGCAAGAAATTGCAAGTAGATAAATAGGGACCACTTCGGTGGGAAGGTAACAGCGTTCCGTGCGCCTTGGTGTTTAGTCATGCCGGCCACATGACCACGGAAACGTCTTCGGACAGCGCTGGCTCTTCGGCTTTGAAACGGAGATGAGCACCGCAACCCTAGAGTCGGATTCGACTGGCTTTCGAGCAAGGGAACCTTTACCTTTACTTTAAGTTTTATGAGTATCAGAAAGGGGAAGACTAGAGCGCTAGGAACCCTGGAGAGAGTTTAAAAGAGATGCTTTCTCTAAGGCAGGGGTGTCAAACATGCAGCTCGGGCTGGATGAGGCCCCCAGAGGGCGTCTATCAGGCTCGCAGTGGAACTGGCTGTCCTTTGCTTCTTCTTCCAGTTCTGCTGCTGCTGCGTCATCGTAAACACAAAGGTTTTTTTTAACTTAAAATAAAAACATGTTTAAAACATTAGCACTCTTGCAATATTTTGTTTATTTAACAGTGTCTGATAACTGACACCTCTTGCTCTGAATTATTGCATCAAAATGTCTGTGCTGTTGCAACCTTGAGTGTGCTGTTCAGGTGTGTATCTGTAAGCTGCAAACCTACGATGACGCAGCAGCAGCAGAAGTGGAAGAAGAAGCAGAAAACAGCCAGTTCCACTGTGGGCCTGATAGAAGCCCTCTGGGGGCCTGATCCGGCCCCCGGCCCCCATATGTGACACCCCTACTCTAAGCTGTGGAGTCTTGTGAGCGAAAATTCTACTTTGTGAGCTACTGGCATTAAAGTTGTGAGCCCGCGATTGGTCTGCTGCATAAATTAGTTTGCTCTGGAGCCATCCTTCCTGAGCCAAGACTGAAATGTGTGAGCCAGAGGCTAAAAAACTGTGCGCTAGCTCACACTAACTCAGCTTAGAGGGAACCCTGCTCATGAGCTTTTCAAAGGGTTGTCACTGATGCTTTTTCTTCAGTGTGTTCAGGAGGTAAGGGTTTAAGCAAAAGCCATTGCATAATTAAATATAATCCGTTATTTTTTCTTGCAGGAGGAAGGTTTGTAACAATCGAGAAGTAACAGATATCTGAGTAACCAATCAAACAGTGTATATTCCAGCAAACGAAGGATGCAGGGAAGATGATGCGTGTCTAAATGAATGGTGCTCAGCTCAGGGGATGACGACCAACATCTAATCTCAGATGTATCTCTGCCTTCGTCGTTGTCTTCTGATGATAAAACGGAAAACTGAGCTTACACTTAAAGAATGCATGGTAGAAACTGCCCCAAGGCTTACAGAAGAATTGGTCTCGCACGGAAAAAAATGCTGTCTGATTCCATCTCTGAAGGTTTCTGGCGAATGTTGACTTCCAAATACCTTGTGGCTGAAGGTCTGTGTTTGGATAATAAAAGGAAAGTGAGTCAAGCGCTCAGGCTTACATGTTGACTTTCATTGGGTCACATTCCCAGAAAGTAGAAGACATAAGGGTAGCTTGACAACTCGATTGGTTTACAGGCATATCGCGGCAGAAGCTTTTACTGAATTTGCTTGAGTGAAACAGTCTGTACGCTTTTACCTCCTTCTGCCCCGCTCCCTCCTCCAGTGTAACAAGTCCCTGCTTTAAGTTTGCAAGCTCCTTCTGGAAAGTAGTTTTTGAATTCCCCCTTTGTATCTCGTTTTTTTAAATACCCTAACCCTGGATATCCGCGCGCCTCTTCTGTAATGATGGTCTCTGAGAAACAGAATTTGCGGATCCCCGTTCGTAATAACGAATTATTTCGAGCCATGGCTGTGATCTGAAGGTCCTTCTCGTCTGCTGGGATTTCGTTACCGAGGCAAAGACGGAGTTGACCCCCCCACCATGGCAGAGAAGTGTGATTACATCGCTAATATGTACGGTTATGACCTCGGTTGCCGCTTCGTCAACTTCAGACCGTTGGGCTTGGGCGTCAACGGGCTTGTCCTGTCGGCGGTTGACAGCAAAAGCAGCCGGAAAGTGGCCGTGAAGAAGATCGCCATCAATGATGCGCAGAGCCTGAAGCACGCTTTCCGCGAGATCAAGATAATCCGCCGGCTGGACCACGACAACATCGTGAAGGTCTACGAGGTGTTGGGGCCTAAAGGAGCAGACATTCAGGGAGACTTGTTCAAGTTTAATACGGTGTACGTTGTCCAGGAGTATATGGAGACTGACCTGGCCCGACTCTTAGAGCAGGGGCCGCTGTCGGAAGAACACGCCAAGCTCTTTATGTACCAGTTGCTCAGGGGGTTGAAGTACATCCACTCGGCCAACGTGTTGCACCGCGACTTAAAGCCAGCCAACATTTTCATCAACACAGAGGACTTGGTGCTGAAGGTCGGAGACTTCGGATTGGCGAGAGTTGTGGATCAGCATTACTCTCACAAGGTGAGCCCCTAGACTCGTTTTGGCTGCTTTGACCATGATTTGGAGCAATGCTCCCTGTAAATTGTGGAGTCTTGTGAACAAAAATTCTACTTTGTGAGCTACTGGCATTAAAGTTGTGAGTGAACGGTTTGGCTACTGCATGAATTAGTTTGCTCTGGAGCCCTCCTTCCCGAGCCAAGACAGAAATGTGTGAGCTGGAGGCTAAGAAACTGTGAGCTAGCTCACACTAACTCAGCTTAGAGGGAACACTGATTTGGAGAATCCCACGCCAGATTTCCAAGCTCAAATAATTTCCAGAATTTGTAAGATTTTATTGTTGACTTATTAGAACTTATTCTTTCCATTTTTACTCCACCTGCTTTGCTTCATAGAACTTTAGGAAGACAGTCTCCAGATCCACACCCACAATCCGTAGATTTAAAAAAAGACTATGTTCTTGAAGGTTGTACTTAGTATAATTCTCAAAGTCTTAGGACAGGGGTCCCTAGTCTTTTTGAGCTCATAGGCACCTTTGGAATTCTGATACAATGTGGTGAACACAGCCACAAAATGACACAGCCACGACATGGCTGCCACGGGAGGTGGGGCCAGCCACGACAAGGCTGCCACAGGAGGCGGGGTCAGCCACGACATGGCTGCCACGGCTTACCTTTAGTCACACACGGAAGATGGCAGCTGCTGCCAAAGCAATGCTTTAAAAAATCTGCACAGATAAACAAATCTCCAGTGGCCAATCAGAAGCACCATCTGGCCCCACCCAATTTCCCCCCAAAACTGAAGGGGGAGGGGAAACTGAAGCAGCTGAACCCAGTGGGGGCGGGGTCTGGCATCCCTATGTTACAGTGAAGTTGTGTGATGTCTGGCTTTATGGTTTTGACGTTGGCCCAGTTGCAAAGCTGAGAGTTCTTTAAATTGGTCTGGTAGAAGAATCCCAGCTCAGACGATGCGGCTGGCACAATCCGTTCTAAAACGGGCCTTTGAACTTCCCACTTCTGTAAATAGAATGGAAGAGCGGTATTGATCAGGCGGTACGTGGAGGTTAAAAATGGCCGGCTTCCTCTCGGGGGCGGAAAAGGCGTCTTCTAGCATAGCCTGTGAAATCTGGCGTGTTAATTGGATCACAGAAGAACCTCTGCAAGGCCGGAGGGGGTCTGACCTTCCAGAAATGCGAGAACCAAAAAGGGGAGTTCGTAGGAATGAAATAGTCAAGAACGTTTGTTTCGAGGATACTCCAGCTTCCGCAAGACCTTTTAATATACGGAAGGATAAGGTGAGTCTTTGTATTAGATGACAAAGGTTCAATATGCAGGACAATCTTGGCTCTCCAGCAATTTTATGTGGTCCATACTGCCAGGATTTGCCCTGTGAAAAAGAAACATAGAAATATTCCGTACTTCAAAACGGTTTAACAGAGAGGAGGAGGAGGAGGAGAAGATTGGGTTTATACCCTGCCCTTCATTCGGAGTCTCAGCGCAGCTTACAAACTTCTTTCCCTTCCCCTCCCCACAACAGACACCCTGTGAGGTAGGGTGGGGCTGAGAGAGGTCTTGACAGAAACTGCTCTTTTTCAAGGACAGCTCTTGTCAGAACTATGGCTTGCCCAAGGTCATCCGGCAGGTGCAAGTGGAGGAATGGGGAATCAAACCCGGTTCTCCCAGATTAGAGTCCGCGCACTTAACCACTACACCAAATTGCTATGTCTGAGCTCATGGGCTTCTAAGTGGCAAATAAGCTGGCAACCAATAGGAGGCTCACCATCTGTGTGAGGGCCTTGCTGGGCCTCACGGTGACATCATTTCCAGTGTGACCAGGGAGTGACATCATCATATGGCTGGCGAGGCTGCAGCAGTAACCCGATGGAATGAGTTCACTTCCTGGTTGCACCAGAAGGGATGTAACGGTGTCAGGATGTGGCTGGTCACCCCACCATTTCACCGGCTGTCTAGCTGAATGGCAGTGGAAATGGCTGGCAGAGGGCAAGCAAAGTGCCAACAGTATAATATCTTAGGGCGGGGACTCACAACAAAGGGATCCATTTGGGAGCAAGGTATTCTTCAGCCCACATCTGGAAAAAGCACCTGTCTGTAAAATAGCATGACCCCTGAAAAGTGCTACAGCCAAAGTTAGGCTTTGCGGGCAGAAGGCGAAACATCTGTCTGGGCTGTTTAGCCACCAAGTGCTCCTTCATTCCAAAACTGCTGCATCCCTTCATATAGACAGCTAGCACCTCAAGGGCAAGGCTATTCTGTAACCTGACATGCTTGTTTTCTATGGAATGGGGAGTTCATTTTATATATTTAAAAAGCATTAATTCATGTGAGTTATGGGGCTGCAAACTCTGGGTTTGGAAATACCTGGCTATTTGAGGGCAGAGCCCGGTAGGGGTGGGACCTCAAGAGAAGAAGAAGAAGAAGAAGGGGAGGGACCTCAAGAGAAGAAGAAGAAGAGATTGGATTTATACCCCGCCTTTCTCTACCGGAGGGAGTCTCAGAGCGGCTTACGGTCTCCTTTCCCTTCCCCTCCCCACCACAGACGCCCTGTGAGGTAGGTGGGGCTGAGAGAGCTCTTGACAGAAACTGCTCTGTTTCAAGAACAGCTCTTATCAGAACTACGGCTTGCCCAAGGTCATCCAGCAGGTGCAAATGGACGGGTGGGGAATCAAACCCGGTTCTCCCAGATTAGCGTCCGCGCACTTCACCACTACACCAAACTGGTATAATACCACACAGTCCACCTTCCAAATCAGCCATTTTCTTCAGGAGAAATTGGGAAATGTTTTAAATAAGTAAGCTATCTATGTAGTCTGGCGATCAGTTGTCATTCTGGGGATCTCCAGCCCCCACCTGGAGTTGGCAACCATAGATCCAGCCATACTTCAGCCCTGTCAAGTCCCACTGATTTCTGCTGGAGACGGCAGCACGTACAGAAATCTCTTCAGCTAAAACAGAAAGGACATACCACCCTAACCCTATCTGTGTTTATTCAGAAGTAAGTCCCTATAGACAAATAACTAGCATTGCCAACCTCCAGGTGGGGCCTGGAGATCTCCAGGAATTACAACGAATCTCCAGACTACAGAAATCAGTTCCCCTGGAGAAAGTGGCTGTCTGGGAGGGTGGGCTGTGAAGCATCACACCCTGATGAGGCTCTACCCTGCCCTCGCTAAACTCTACCCACAAATCTCCAGGAATTTCCCAACCTGCAGTTGGCAACCCTATATTGCTGCCTTTAGGCCCTCTGGGCCTGGATTTTTGTAAGGCTTGCTATCCTGTGCCTTCCTTATTTGGTGGTCAGTCCTATAGGATTCAGTAGGATTTGTTTCCGAGAAAACTCAGAGGCTAAGATGCTGAGCTACAGACCGGAAGATCTGTCGTTTGGCATTTCGTGACCCGAGTGCCACATGACGGAGTGAGCTCCCGTCTCTGGCTCCAGCTCCTGCCAACCTAGCAGTTCGAAAGCAAGAAGTTTTTGTTGTTGAGTCGCACAGTCGAGTCCGACTCTTCGCGACCCCATGGACCAGCTCCCGCCAGGCCTTCCGGTCTTCCGCCGTCCTCTGAAGTTTGCTCAATTTCATGTTCGTTGCATCGATGACACTGTCTAACCATCTCATCCTTTGCCGTCCGCGTCTTCTTTGACCTTCAATCTTTCCCAGCATCAGGGTCTTCTCCAGTGAGTGCTCCCTTCTCATTGGGTGGCCAAAGTATTTGAGCTTCAGTTTCATTATCTGGCCTTCCAGGGAAATGTTCGTTGCATCGATGACATTGTCTAACCATCTCATCCTTTGCCATCCCCGTCTTCTTTGGCCTTCAATCTTTCCCAGCATCAGGGTCTTTTCCAGTGAGTGCTCCCTTCTCATTTGGTGGCCAAAGTATTTGAGCTTCATTTTCATTATCTGGCCTTCCAGGGAACAGTCAGGGTTGATTTCTTTGAGGATTGACTGATTTGTTCTTCTTGCAGTCCAAGGGACTCTCAAGAGTCTTCTCCAGCACCATAGTTCAAAAGAATCTATTCTTCGGCGCTCGGCCTTCCTTATAGTCCAACTCTCGCAGCCATACATGACTACTGGGAATACCATTGCTTTGACCATGCGGACTTTTGTTGGCAGGGAGATGTCTCTACTTTTTATCATGCTGTTTAGGTTCGCCATAGGTACCACTTTGGTGGGAAGGTAACAGCGTTCCGTGCACCTTGGTGTTTAGTCATGCCAGTCACATGACCACGGAAACGTCTTTGGACAGTCCTGGCTCTTCGGCTTGGGAAGGGAAACCTTTACCTTTAAACATGGATAGGCTTATATGCTGCAGAGAGAGAAAACTTCACTGAGTGAGTGTTTACTGGCATGTCATTTGCACCTTCCTTGCACTTGTGTAAGGGCCTGATCCAACCACTTCCCCCTTTTGTGCAACCATCTGTAGCACTGGGATGTCGTTAAGTAGCAAGGAAAGGGGTTGGAGAGAGTCATAGGGCAACTTACCTATGGAATGGAAAATTCCAGCACAAGGAATGTCCTGTTATGGAAAACTTTTGATCAATGTAAACGCATCCCCCCCCCAAGAGCCTTAAGCGTGGGCTCAGTTTATATGCGTGATTTCCCCAGATAAAAGGAACAGATGGACAAGAGGAGGAATTCAAAGTATGCTCAGCAATTTTGCCCCAATTATTATCATCTTATCCCCCCCCCCTTTCCAACAAAAGGGTTTGTTTGGGATGTTTTGTCTAACATGCCTGCCCTGCTTTGCCAGTGAACAATAAGAGCGGTGCCCTCTTGGCTCTAGATGCCCATGTGCTTATGTAAAGGAGCAAAACAGTGTGGGTCCCTGAGGTCTTAAAGGGCCAGTGTTCTGCTCTGGGGTCACTGAGCTCAAGCACATGAGAAGCATCAGGAAAACTGAGCCGTTGTTTCATGCCAAAGGATCCTACAGAAATAGGAAACAGTTGCAGCACTTCTCTCTCTTTCTCTCTCTCTCTCTCTCTCTCCCCCCTCTTTTCTCCAAAGACTA